ATTATTAACGGATTAACTTCAAACTTCACAACAAGGTTAATTACCATGAAACCTCGGACAAGTTCGATAACCGCCATTATCCGACCGTAATTATTGGAGTTATTCCCCTTGGTTTCATTAATGCGATGCATGCGTTCGATGATGTTGTATTGCACTCATTGATCTACCAGTTATGTTGAATGATTTCTCTTTTAATATCAATTACTCACAAATACTTCATATATTTCAATCATACAAACAACTGCTCATTCAATGAGTGACGGGCGTATTATATACCGCTCGCGGTAACCTTGTTGTTCATGTGATCTTTAGAACGTCTAATGAGTCGTCCTGAATGGACGAAATGGTGAAGTAAATGTTAACTTTGTTTGGCTTTTGGCATCGATTTCAAATTTTGAAGTAGGTGCTACATAACGTTGTATTTAAATCGAATAATTCTATTTGTTTATTTATAAACAGGAATGTGCCTCACATGGGATAACAAAAAGAAGAAGATGAAATTGAGAGATTCTACGGACTCAGCATTTTATTCAACTTTTCACATTTATTCTCTATAAAGGACTCGTACAATTAATCAGTTTCTATAAGTTACTTCTAAGCTTTTAACCAAAGAGCTTTAATAGAAGAAGTTCAACACTTGGGACAGCTGTCTAGATTCATAGATAAAAACGTAACAAAAATGTATTATAAAATATATTGTAACATCACTTTTGTTACCGTTTAAATTTTGAAGTCATTCCTGTTGTCATTTGTGTTATGAATAATATATTACTGATCATTACTTTAGCATTGTCTGTGTTGTGTTGTTTTTTCTCCGTCAACATGATTGTCTACAAAATTAACACATCTTCTGAATATGTTAAAGGGCTAAGAGCTGTTATAGTCTTTCTCTGTGTCTCTATGCGTGTTTTTCTGACTGTCTCTTTCAGTGCCATCACCTCTTTATAACAAAGTTTTCACACGTTATGGAGTTGGAGAAATGTAATTAAAAACTATGTCCGTTTATCGAATTCCGAAAGTGATATGTACACAGTCAAAAAAGAACCATATGGATAATTGGATTGATTTTTTTAGGAACCAACGTTACAAAATGACAGGTTTTCTTTCAATAATGTAAAAGATATAAAACAAACCTTTCCTTTAAGGGAATGTCTTTGACGTCACGGAGGGAACTATTCAGAAGTTTTAATGAATATCCATAAGGTTCTGATGCAATTATTTCTTTGTTAAAATTGCTCGCTGTCCTGACAAGGAAAATAATACACAATAGACATGATTATTTTGGTGTAATATAACAGCCAATGATATGGTTGACCTTGGTAAAGGTATTCAATTCTTGTTACGTCAAATGAATGAACGACCTGTGTCAAATAAAGATTTACAAGTGATAGGGCATCTAATACATCTATAATGGAACATGATAAAGGCGTGTACTTCCTAAACAATAAATACATGATTATAAATGATATTGAAAAATATCTCGTCCTTCTTTATTTGCATTAAAAATGCGGAAGATTAAGGAACTCATGGTATTCCCGTCTTTCCGTCAACAGGTAGTAGCACTAAAGTATATATTAGCCATTACATCAAAAGTTAATGGCCATTCAAGAAGACCTCCGCCGTCAACAAGTTAATGTATATAATGACATTTTCTGATCAAGGTGAGTAAACGAAAGCAAATATTTTTTGTGGAAGATGTCAATCTCTTATTAAGTTGCTGAATCATTAATGCAAATTTTGAAAATGAGGTATTTGATAACTGTCCTTTATCGATCTTTGTTTAAAATATGTTTCGAATATATGTTAATCCAGATTGTAAATAATGAACAGGTAAACACGATAGTCATGATATGATTATTAAAAGAGATATTATGGTAAATATATAAAGATATATTAAAGTTCTTTAAATAAAACGGTAATTTTACAGTATGAAATGACTATGGTGTTCCACGTGGTTTTGTCACAACAAGGTTGTTAACGTTACACATAGACTAAAAGTACTCCCCATAACTATTAATAGAATCTCGTAAAAAAACACTGAGTGGTAAGGTCATTTGATAAGGACGGATTCGGGTTTACTTGGTGCACTATATATGTATCATATAGGGTTTGCCTTAGCGGTGCATTGTTCGATAATAGTCGTAAAGGAGAAAGTGCGCACATTCTAATACATATATATTAAAAATCCTGACGTTTTATAAATTTCACATGAAATGACAACGAGTGTAAGATCCTTTTTATCGCATAATAAAAAAATGTGACATTTATTTGTGTAAAACGACAATTTTCATACAACCTTGAAATGTAAAAAACCGCCATTTTGACTCCAGTGCGTAAGTCTGTGATGCCATATACTTGTCCTAGACGTGACGTCACAAATAAAACAATTAACACTTACAACCAACCAGGATTTACCAAATAAAGTGTGCATGACATTCTATCTGTAATAGGGATGTTACCACTCTCCTTGACAAATGTTACCGTACAATGCACCGCCAAGTCAAAGCCTGTGCGAAACGTCTGAATAATAGTAAGTGAAATAACACACTTGTGTAAAATTCATTAAAGTATGATGACATATATCACCTATGTCCTGTATGGACGAGTCGTATGTCATAAGATTGATAAAAAATGAACATAAAATGAAGTTCAGGTAATGCAGACAGTTCTCTGTCTGATTTAGTAATCTGATGCAATAGATAGAATTGCGAAATATAAGCTTAAATATCAAGGTGTTTCGTTCATACAAGAAACTTTACTGAGACATGCTCGTGTATGTGGTTGTCTTCAACAGATTGCATATGTATTTGTGATTTTAAATTCTTCGTTTTTAAATGCGTACACTTTTTGTTTATGAGGTTCATGGAACAAGTTAACGTTTTCCATATTCTCGGGAAAAGTTGAAAAGGAATCAAACCACCAACATAGAAATATTTAGTGTAGGAACATATTATGACAAAAGATTCGGGAAATTGTCGATTCGTTGACAACAAGTACCAATTATTACAGGGCCTTATCAACAAACATTAGAACGTGCAGAAAAACACAGTTCCCACACCGATCCATTTCAACAACCGACCATAGAAAAAAACCCATCCAATAAATAAAATAAATAAATACACACCATTTGGTTTAGCGCCCTATCTAGCTAACATAAGCCACTCTAAAGCGCTTTACAGTACATATACATGTAATTTAATACATTGAATACATGTAGGTGTACATGTTTATGAGAAATACCCCGTCCTTCTTTATTTGCATAAGAAATGCGGAAGATTAAGACATTTAGGTATTCCCGTCTTTCCGTCAACAGGAAGTACCACTTCAGTATATATTAGCCATTACATCAACGTTTACATTATAGGACAGTCAAGAAGACGACCGCCGTCAACAGATAAGTTTTATATAAGCTACATCGCATGACACTTCCTTATCAAAGGTAAGTTGTTTTTTTACTTTCGATATACATGTTAAACAAGTCGGATAAACGAAAGTAACTATCTTTTTTGTTAAAGATGGAAACCAAAGGCCATGTTTGCCAAACTCTTGTCAAAATCATTAATGCAAATTTGGAAAATGAGATATTTGATAACTGTCCTTTATCGATTTTTGATTAAAATCATCGAATACATTTTCGAATTTATGTTAATGCATACGGTAAAAAATTAACAGGTTAACATCAAAGTCATGATATGATGATTAAAATAGATATTATGGTAAATATATATAAATATATATAAGTTCATTTTTACGGTATGAAATTATTATGGTGTTACACGTGGTTTTGTCACAACAAGGTTGTTTACGTTACACATAGACTCAAAATACCCCCATAACTGTTAATAGAATCTCGTAAAAACCACTGAGTGGTAAGGTCATTTGATAAGGACAGATCCGGGTTTTCTTGGTGCTCTATATATGTATCATATAGGGTTTCCCTTAGCGGTCCATTGTTAGATAATAGTCGTAAAGGAGAAAGTGCGCACATTCCTATACACATATATATACGTGTAATATATATAGGATCTTACATGAGTTTCCATTTCATATGGGATTATGAAACTAGTCTAAGAATGTTTTTAAATTGAGGCGAGCTAAAATGAAAAATTCGTGACTAGATTTATAAATTTCATATGAAATGAAAACGAGCGTAAGATCCTTATTATTACATAATCAAAATTTGTGGCATTAATTCGTGTAAAACGACAATTTTCATGCAACCTTGAAATCAAAAAGCCGCCATTTTGACTCCAGTGCGTAAATCTGTGATGCCATATACTTGTCCTAGGCGTGACGTCACAATTGAAACAATTGAAACTTACAACCAATCACAGGGCTGATAGGTCATATTGCATGGGTTAATATGCTAAAAATATGACATGGGTATATTAACTGGATAACAATACATTATGTGATAAAAATATATCTTCAAAATAAGATTTAGCAAATGAAGTGTGCATGACATTCTATCTATAAAAGGGATGTTACCACTCTCCTTGACAAATGTTTCCGTGCAATGCACCGCCAAGTCAAAGCCTGTGCGAAACGTCTGAATAATAGTAAGTGAAATAACACACTTGTGTAAAATTCATTAAAGTATGATGACATATATCACCTATGTCCTGTATGGACGAGACGTATGTCATAAGATTGATAAAAAATGAACTTAAAATGAAGTTCAGGTAATGCACACAGTTCTCTGTCTGATTTATTAATCTGTGCAATTGATAGACTTGCGACATATAAGCATAACTATCAAGGTGTTTAGTTCATACAAGAAACATTTACTGAGACATGCTCGTGTATGTGGTTGTCTTCAACAGATTGCAAATGTATTTGTGATTTTAAATTCTTCGTTTCTAAATGCGTACACTTTTTGTTTATGAGGTTCATGGAACAACTTAACGTTTTCCATATTCTCGGGAAAAGTTGAAATGGAGTCAAACCACCAACATAGAAATATTTAGTGTAGGAACATGTTATGAAAAAAGATTCGGGAATTGTTCGCTTCGTTGACAACAAGTACCCATAATTACAGCGCCTTATCAACGAACGTCAGAAAGTGCAGAAAAATACAGTTCCGACACCGATACATTTCATCAACCGGCCATAGAAAAGGAAAATCCTATAAATAGAATAAATAAATATACAACATTTGGTTTAGCGTCCTATCTAGCTAACATAAGCCACTCTAAAGCGCTTTACAGTACATATATATGTAATTTAATACATTGAAAACATGTAGGTGTACATGTTTATGAGAAATATCCCGTCCTTCTTTATTTGCGTTAGAAATGGGGAAGATTATGACACTCAGGTATTCCCGTCTTTCCGTCCTAAGGAAATACCACTCCAGTATATATTAGTCATTAACTCAAAGTTTACATTATAGGACAGGCAAGACGACGTCCGCCGTCAACAGATTAGTTTTACATAAGCTACAACGCATGACATTTTCATATCAAGGTAAGTCTTTTTTTTGCATTCGATTTACATGTTAAACAAGTCGGATAAACGAAAGTTACTATATTTTTGGTTAAAAATGGAAATCAAAGGCCATGTTTGCCAAACTCTTGTCAAAATCATTAATGCAAATTTGGAAAATGAGATATTTGATAACTGTCCTTTATCGATTTTTGATTAAAATCATCGAATACATTTTTGAATATATGATAATGTAGATGGTAAATAATGAACAGGTTAACATCAAAGTCATGATATGATGATTAAAATAGATATTATGGTATGAAATTATTATGGTGTTTCACGTGGTTTTGTCACAACAAGATTGTTAACGTTATACAGAGCCTAAAGTACCCCCAATAACTTAATATAATCTCGTAAAAACCACTGAGTTGTAAGGTCATTTGATAAGGACTGATCCGGGTTTTCTTGGTGCACTATATATGTATCATATAGGGTTTCCCTTAGCGGTGCATTGTTCGATAATAGTCGTAAAGGACATTCCTATACACATAAATGTATATATACGTGTAATATATATAGGATCTTACATGAGTTTCAATTTCATATGGAATCATGAAACTAATCTAAGAATGTTTTTCAATTGAGGCGAGCTACACTACATATATATACAATTTAATACAATGAATAGAATAAGCATATACATTAATCAATACAATATTGAGAAATTGACAGGAGCTGCCTTATCAGGCGCTAACTACTAGTCCTATACCACCTGACTAATATCTCCCTATGTGTGTATGCCTGCGTATGTGCTGGAGATGTATTAATATTTATCCAATAGCATTATTTTCTGAGCCCTACTTTTAAATATATGCGTGACATATCAATTATGTCAATATTCCAATGAAATTGCACATATGTTGTTAAGACATTTCAAGTAAAGAAACATAGTTTCCTACACGGAAATAAACCAGAAATGAACAATAAGAAGGTATGTATGATCATTGAGGTCATATAAGCCCGTACTGTCACGCATGACAAGACAAATTCATTTTAAAGTTTATTTATGGATAACATTTTAAATAGGGTGATAACACGAGGAAGTGTTGGTACTTCCTTATTTACTGAAATTGGAAGAGGAATTGATATAAGATCATCTAAGCCTGATTACAACCCCTTTGGGAGTTGTATGTATTTTACTATTGTGTTAGCGTAGTGAACACACAACTGTTTAATCTTAACTAAACTTAAACCTGATGGATTGTAGTATGTCTCATTCTATATAATCTTCCTGACATTTTTATTGTAAATTACAATAAAAACACCTGTACATTTCGTTCATATATTAGAGTACCCAACTTTCTTTGATAGGACGTACTTAAGAAAACGTGTTTTCTATTTAAATGGAGCGCTGCATAATAATTATCGTAACGGAGATAACGTCAACGTCAGGAAGAGTGATTAAATTTGAAAGAAAAAATCTGATAACGTTAAGTATGAATAATTTATCAAAATTACAATTTTCCTTATCGATTTCAACTTTGACGTGTATATCATTTGAGCAATACTTTCTCAGGCAATAGTTACTTAATCTTAGGACCCCAACATGTCGTTAAGTGATAGTATAAAACAACAGGAAATTGTTGAAAACCAGTGTTGGTCATCTCCAGCATTTGACGTCCTGAAAAGTTTGTATACGGAATGCAAATCTACTGAATGTGAGAAAGGCTTTGTTAGTTATTTGCTGATATTCTTCATAAGGTTTTGGATACGATTACATGTACGTTTTGTCTAGGAACTTGATATAAACCACTGTAGGAAATTTCGTCACAATCACTGATATGTGCTGATATTAATATACATCTTCCTGTAGTTTCTAATATATTCACTACTTACTAGTACATTAATATCTTTAACGGAAATGTAGGTATTGAATCTCGCTCTGTTGAAGTTCAGGGTTTATAATATAAGGTCTTTGGCAAATTAAAATGATATAAGATTACAAAGCTTACACAGTTTATCGTCCGGGTTTCACTTTGTGGAACGTTACATTGTGTAGATATGGCCAAGATTGGTATGATGGGTGTCATAGATGAAGCAGAAGACGCTTACTCTTTCGGAACACCTAGTCCTAGTTTATATACTCCTTGTACGTCTTAAACAAACAGTCCTTGTAAAATTTTCCGTTTTTTATAGTTTACACAATATACCCTGGTTTCATCAATTTTGAGTTTAAATACATTTTGTATTAACTTCGGCATTCTCTTGTTTTCTCATGACTTTATCCAGAATAGTTATTAATACATGTATTTCAGGTAGGATTGGATTCAACGACATAGAATCCTGAAACATCAATGATGGCAGATGTCGAGATATTTTCCGATGAGGTATGTTTCTATATAATCGTGATTAACAGTGTGAGTTTATTGATTCTAGAAACAGTGCATTATGTACCCTAAAGAAAATAAATCACACAAAAAACATTGGTATGTGAATGTATTCAACAATGCTTCCAGGTAAAGATAACACTATCTGTATTAGTGAATAAGAACGAAAAAGTTTGACTTTTATTTCATTTTGCATTAATTTTGGTATAGATTTTCTTCCTAAAGTGTCTTCTATTTCTGTATTTCGTCATTGCATTTAACTTATTTACGTCATCTCTATATTATAAACCTAGCGGTAAATGATATGTTCCAGTCAATTCCTTTATTTTTTCTAATTTTAAAGTATTTATCGCTCATTAAAATTTAACGTGGCAATTTTATACTTCATGAAATTACCTCACACAATAAAGTAGAAATACCAAAGCTGTTTCACCAAACACAAGTAATGTCATATAATCAGCTGCCCTGGAGGCAACAACATTGTCATAAAATCAAAATAAATATCTGAACGAGTCGAAAAAATAAAACATGGAATGGTACTTTGCCCTTTTGATAATATAAGTTACCTTTACACTATGTTTGTTTTGTTTCGGTTTTGACATTCTTTAAATATAATTATAATCTATTTGATCAAAGTTTGAAATGCACTGTTGGCAAGCATAATTCCGTAGTCAGATGATTAAAGAAGTACAACAACGGCGTAAATGACGTTGACAAAGACCACTTTTCCTTCAGTTTTTCGGGTTTGCTGTGCCTAACTATTCGCCTACACCAGAGCCTGACTTCAGCTCGGACAATGTACTAAGCAGGATCTCAACGTTGTCTGTGAACGAGGCCGACTTAACGCCAACGGTATGTAATCCTTATTATTGTCAACCTTTACGCACATATATTCGTCGTGCGTTAAAGATATAAAACGTCATAAATGCAAAATTTATTTCGTTCCATTTGTGCCCTAGATAACAGTGTATATAAGTCTGGTGTTTACGCGCTGTTAATACCGATATTGTGATGTATTGTCTCTCTATTGTCTCACAACAACATTAAGTTTCTGAAATTGACATTTCAAATAATTATATCTCAAGCGAAACCCTGTAATCTGATTGGTCGAGACAAATTATTCATTTCACACTGTTACATTCGCTTTGACATTGAGTCAATGGAAGGTTGCTTCCAAACGCCCTACCAACGAGTGATACCATGTGTGACAGTGCAAAATAGTAATCGCTCGCAAAAAAGATGTGCGTACGGTTCGTTTCAGCTGCCATATTGACTTTCAGTATAATAAAATAAATACTACATTCGCCCGGGTTTCACCTTGTGGAACGTTACATTGTGTAGATATGGCCAATATTGGTATGATGGGTGTCATAGATGAAGCAGAAGACGCTTTCCCTTTCGGAACACCTGGTCCTAGTTTTTATACTCCTTGTACGTCTTAAAAAAATTCCGTGTCAGTTTGTCCGTTTTTTATAGTTTACACAACATATCACTGTCATCTTCGGTTTCGACTCCGGTGACAGTGATATCCTCGGGGTGATCCTAGGCACTGTCATATACAAATAAATGCAGTATTTATATAATATTAAGAATCCTGCGAGTTTTCGTGATAATAGTCTTTTTCTGTCTAGGGTACGACGCGTAGGCCTACAAGCGGTCCAGTGGAACATGAGATGCCGCATGTCGACTCTGACTATAACAACCCTGACACAAACTCTGACGCTTCTGTCACCCTATCGGATGATTGTAAAAGTGTATCAACCGAAGACAAGGTACTGTTCATTTTATATATCATTAGGCATACATACAGGACGTGGAAACTTTACCGCGGCGGCTCTAACTTTGCCGTTTTGCAAATTCAAATTATATTTATTTTTGTTACATGATATATTTAATCACACAAAAATAGAAACAAATGTTTTGGCCAATTGTCTTAATTTTTCGATTTCATTATGTGTACTTTCTCATGTTGTGTTTATGCATATGGCATAGAGAGGTACACGTCCGGAAATTGAAAAATTTCCGTTTTTCTTGTTTAGACATCACACAATCTGCATATCAGATATTGACCTTGATATTCCATTGTCGTTTTGTAGGATCATACAAGCAGTCCCACACACCACCCAGTAGCACGTGACTCTGGTAATAGCCACATCGATACAAGCAAGGATACTTCTGAAAATGAAATCAATGATTGTGAATGTGGATCGCCTGAGAATGTGGTAATGACATTTTGTATAGCTTATTATACCCCAAGTATACTTACAGAACTATACTGACTATATATCTGCTGCTTCCGTGTTTGCCCCTTTAGGTAGTGTTGTTAATTCAAGACATCAAACCTGAAATTAAAGAAACTTCTTTATCCAAGTGTCATCATTTGCGCAAAATCTGTTTTCTTAACTATATTCTATATTAATACCACTAAGGGGCGGAATGTGTTAATATATTTCAATTTTAACAAATTTTATTGACAAATTAAACAATAGTCAATAGGATCAGACATCAGGCATAGCCTGCCTAAGTCCTCTCCTTGAGGGGACATCAGGTGGTAAGGATATGATGATTGGGATAACTCCTTGATTTAAACAGATTTGTTCAATACCCTTGAGATAGTAACCCTTTCACTAGGGATATTTAATTTGAGATATTTACAAGACTATTATTTTTAGTGAATAATTTCAAGGATTAGACAATGCGTTACTGGTATTCATATAAGGTAAACTGTTGAGTATACATATTTGGTGATATTGGATTTATTTTCCAAACAGATACAGGCCATACAGTCCATATATATAACATACTAGCCATACACTGTTGAGGATCAAAAGCCAATTTCAGCAATTAGATATATTATTTGGAAGTAGGGTTACACCAACTCCTGCAAATAATATGATAATTCTTTAATTAAATTGAAAGGAGTTACTTCATATCGTCATATAAGCTAAAAGAAAAAAAAAACACATCTCAGCTGCCCAGAGCCAAATTCACACATTCAATAAGTATATAACAGGTAAATAAGTAATTACCAATTGTAGAATAAAGTAGCAGTATCTAATTGATTCCATATCATATTACATTAAGTATATATTGTACTGCTGTATCATTGTAGTTCTTCGGGGGTTATAAAGCTTAAATGCATATAACATGAAACAAAATGTAAAATTGTATGTGTACATATATCACCCGTCCCTCTGGCTGGCTGCATTGTTAGAGTGCTATATGGACAAAATATATCTTTATTTGCTGACAGCTGACTTGACCGATTCGGCACATTGTAGTTTAGTGACATATTTTCAGCGATTAAGAGTCGAGGCACCGGTCATTTAAACTTTTTGCTTGATAAAGGAAACAGACGTTTTCGAAAGCTCGTAAAATCAGTTTTTAATAACTTTTCTGTGCTCAAAAACAAACTTACCATTTCATTCCGATTAACACTAAGGCTATAAATGAAATGCCCCAAATATCTGTTTTCAATTTGAATTATCTGAAGAATCAAAAGTAGGAGATATTACAGTCTCAGAGTATGCTTCCTACTATAATTAGAATCAGCTTGCTAAACAAAAGATTAATAAGAATAGTTTGCCTTGTTTCATCTGTTAATAGAAACATTATGGTATGAATTTATTTTAACGTAGTTTAGAAATTGTGCATGAAAACTTTCAGTTATCTAAAATACCTGTTACCAATATTGACCGTCGTGTAGGACTAAACAGAAAATATCTACCAATATCTAACATCATGTAGGACTAAATAGATATATCTAACAATATCTAACAACATGCAGGACTAAACAGAAAATATTTACCAATATCTAACAACATGTAGGACTAAACAGAAAATATCTACCAATATCTAACAACATGTAGGACTAAATAGATAATATCTACCAATATCTAACGTCATGTGGGATTAAACAGAAAATATCTACCAATATCTAACAACATGTGGGACTAAACAGAACATATCTACCAATATCTAACGTCATCTAGGACTGAACAGAAAATATCTACCAATATTTAACGTCATGTAGGACTTAACAGAAAATATCTACCAATATTTAACGTCATGTAGGACTTAACAGAAAATATCTACCAATATTAACGTAATGTTGGACTAAACAGAAAAATATAAATTTCAGTCTTATTTTAAAAGAATTCTGTTTTTCTAGAATGAAGACCTCAAAGAACGTCAAACTCATATCGAGTTTCAACTAACTAGATCACACAAAGAAAATGCTGGGTTTTCTCTGACGTCATCACGATTATCTGGTCACACGATCTGTGTAACCGACAATGATAACAGCCACGTGCAGCACATGGGTCTACAGTAAGTATTCAACCTTTCCAATATGGTATTGAACTGATTCAGAAAGGAATAATAATAACATTTCGTGTGGCCTACTGACTCCAATTACAAACCCATGACTATCCCTATGTTATTCGGCTTTTATTGCGAAAGCAAATGCGTTACAGCATCCTCGATATACAGGGGTTACGTTCACTTTCGCTCTCTGCACCCTTGGAACATGTCATAGCAAAATTGAAGGCACGAAAATAGCTGTTTGATTGGTCTCGGGTAAAAAAAACCTGACCAATCGCTAGAATGATGCCTGTCATTTAAAGACTACAAAGGAGAAACGCCCGACTTCAAAGCTTGTCAATTTTTACTGTTACGTGACCGTGCGATTCTTTTATGTTTATCATAGGATCAAACTAGTCTTCTTGTTTCATCAACAAGGTGGCGCACACTGAGCACTTTGCCGTATTTATGAAACCATTCTTTTTTTCAAAATAAGATTTCGTCAGTGATTTGGAAGGCTTTAAGAAAATCGTGAAGCCTTATATCGTTTTTTTACTTTATAGTTATTTTTTAATTTGGTCACATCACTTTAGCGAGCAACAGGAAAGTTGCTTTGGACACAGAACCACGCTTAAACATGAGAACGGTTCACGAATACGGGTCCAGGTTTTGATCCCGATCGTCATATGAACTTTCTTATGTCTTTTTTAGGACTGATGACTCAATCGTTGGGGTCAAAAACGTGGACGTTCGTCTATACGACCATCACATATTGGTCTCCGTGTTACAACATATCTATGGAGAAGACAGTGGATTCTTCAAAATGGTAGGATATATTATAAATGTTTCGGTAAAAATCAATTCTACATTTCTCAGGATTAGCGCATGTTTCATTGAGTGAGCCTGCATGTTTTACTTTTTTTCGCAAGAACAATGATGCATGTTTTACTCTCGGCCTGCATGTGTCTTGCTATGTATAAATGATTATTCACGTGAAATTTATTCGCCCAGTCAATTTTTCGCCTTTCACTGGTAGAATCAGTTTTCGTTCAGGGTTAATTTCGCCCTTTACTTGTTATTACTACGTGTATTAGGTTGTGTATTTATTTTCAATGTCGTGACAGATTCTCCCTCGTTACGGAGGGCGAAAAGGGCGACAGTTAAACTGCGGCGAAATTTTCCCGGTATACCGTATTCAAACTGGTACTTTTGTATGATTAGGTGATTGGTCGAAATTTTGAGACGGACGACAGAGGACAGAATGAAGTCCGTTATATTGAAATTAACGTACAGTTTGAATTTCCTACACGTGGTAAGTACACTAATTTACGTTTTCAATGGATTCAAGTCATTCTTTAAAGAATAATTTCCGATATTTCATTGGTTAAAATGTTGTAAATCCTTTTATGGACTTTCCGAAGGTAATCTCTTAATGAAGGCTTGACATCCTCTAAATAGTGGAAATCCATCCGGTGAGAGTTTATTAGTCATTATTTGATTTCCGAATTGATTAATATTAGAGTTGCCTCCTATGTCACACTTGGCTGAAAACCAATGCGTCGTTTAGATTAATTCGTCTTCTTGTAATGCAAAAGGTATATTATAGCATATTTTACAACGTAATTCCAGATATAATCAACTCGTTAGTAACCCGTAAAAGTATCATAAAACAAAACAAATTCCATGCCCATATCACCTGATATTTAGCAATTAAAGTATGCAGTTATTGCGTATGATGTGCTGCTGCTGTTTTTATAATTGACAAACAGAAAGAACGTAAGATTTGGCACACAATTATGTGATATTTCAATTAAAGGGGACGTCATAACGACCAAATCACTCACCACAATGTGATTAGGGTGCAACCAATGAGCATGTAGGGAACACTTGGTCATCTTATATATTTACTTATGGCCCCAATCNTAATAATTATCCTATATTATAACAGGTAGAGTATACATTGTTACCATGAATTATCCGATATTATACAAGGTAGAGTATACATGTTTACCAATAATTATCCAATATTATACCAGGTAGAGTATACATGTTTACCAATAATTATCCGATATTATACCAGGTAGAGTATACATGTTTACCAATAATTATCCGATATTATAACAGGTAGAATATACATTGTTACCATGAATTATCCAATATTATACAAGGTAGAGTACACATGTTTACCAATAATTATCCGATATTATACCAGGTAGAGTATACATGTTTACATTTCCTTTGAAGGAGATACTATTCTACGAATGACCGTCGATGTCGTCACTTGCCCATATTTGACGTTCACCAAAATTATTTGTGTGGAGTTTAAAGGCTCCAAGGTGTGTTGGATCAAGAACAATGACCAACACTTGAGTGTCCAGGATAAACAACTGACCACGAGTAACCCCTTCACCGGTAAAAGTGACGTCAAATGTAAGTAATATTGTTTTGTTACTCTAAGGATGCTGCAAGTGAACATGTTCATGGAATACTCCATATACTACCACCATGTTCCTTGACATATTTTGACGTCATAGAGAGGGGTTGATTGTTTACTAGTAACACTTAAAACTAAAAGCGATCTATAGAAGTGGGGGGTGGGGGTGGGGGGTGGGGGGATATGTCTTATATCGGGAGAAAGTAAAACAAACTCAATGGAAGTGTGGCAGGTTATAATTGTACATTGGATTACGGTCGCCTTCTAGCTTCGAGCTAAAGGGAATTTCCCTTTAGCTCAGTGGTAGAGCGTCCGACTAGGAACCTAGGGATTGGGGTTTGATACCTGGTGGAAGCACACTATTCACTTTCCTGTTACAAATGGTGTCCATGGCTCACCCTGTGGTGACAGGGAGTTAGAACCTTGGTTGTGGTGTTCGAGGGCGAACACATTTAAAAAGAGGGGAGTAGTGTGCCAGGTTTTAATTGTACATAGGATTACGGTCGCCTTCTAGCTTCGAGTTAGAGGGTGGTATCGAGGGTTCGATTCCCGGTGAAAGCACACTATTTTCTTTCCTGTTACAGTAGTATGTGGTTCCTAGCTAAGTATCATACTTTGTGTCTATCAAAAAAGTGTCTACATGGAACTTAATAATATTATATTAATATTTTAATATAACTGTTGGTATTTGTCTTACTATAAATAGTATGGCTGACGCTAAATAAAGGCTTTACTCTGTCAACATCGAATATCAATAGAGATAGGTCATATTGCATATTTATCGTTTGTAAATATATGGATGTTATACTGATATTTCAGCTTGTGACGTTAAGTCGAGGTTATATTGTATATTCAATATTTAAAAACACATCACGCGTTATCTGTTCTATTTAAGTAATTATAATCCAATGAAGATTCATATAAATTATATTTATATTGTGAACTCATTCATATTAACTTTGCAATATTTATCTCTAGAGAGATATTTTAAAACTTACTCGAATCATAATAATTTGAGAAAGAATTTTGGAGATAATTTGCCACGTTAAAATCATTCATAGATTGCATGCCTACCATGCATGTACTTTCAAGGTCCAATTTAATTTAACATTTTTAGAAAATATCTGTCATTTCCTCTAAGAAAATAACCAACGTATTAAACGTTCCATTACTTTACGCAAAAATGAACTTTTTTCATTACATGTGGCACCCATCAAGGGACTTTGTGTCACAAAATACGTCAACTGAGTGATTCATGATGACAGTCTATAAACAATCTTTGCCATGAAAAAACCATTTGATTGTGATGTGGTTTTGGTGTTACATTAAAACCTTGATATGGTGCACCTCGGTAGATTTTGGTTAGATTACCGCCTACATATTTTAGTGTCTTTTATTCTCGTTTTCTTAAGAATTCACAAACACATTTCCCTCAATTAACGCCAAACTCTTTCATAACGTCACCCTTTCTCTGGAAAAATGGTGGCAGTATAACAAGGTGTATACTGTATTTATACAAATTTGTTGCAATTTGATTTGTTTTTGATGTTACTTGATATGATGTTGATTTCTTTTGATTTCTTTTTGTGCTACGAATTGCACTTAGACAAAAAACTTACCCTTACCTAAACCCTGGTTCCGTTTCCGTGTTTCCAAGTTCGTATTATTGCCCTTCTGTTTTGACTCCGGGTTCTCGTGTTCTGAAGATGTGGTTAATAGAGTATATATAGCTCCTAGGTATATGAGATGTTACATATCTTCTATTTGTCTTTAGTTCAGTTCCAATGGTGGACCTTTCATGGACTGGAGGCTCGGACGGTCAGTAACTCAATGTGTCCACCAGTCTTCTTCTGCGCCTTCAGATCTTTAGACAGCAACACATTTGTCACAGTACAGAGTGGCAATCGAGTCGGGATAGGAGTAAGTAACATTTGTGTCGGTATAAACATATTACATTTCTTACTATTTAGGGTGGGAACAGAGTTGGGATAGGAGTAAGTAACATTTGTGTCGGTATAAACATATTACATTTCTTACTATTTAGGGTGGGAACAGAGTCGCGATAGGAGTAAGTAACATTTTTATATAAATATATATACAACAGTTATGAAACAATTGATTTCAACTTATATTAATCACTCTTGCTGGCCCGGATGTTCGCGCACGGGGGATCTTAATGTGAGAGGAAACCTGAGTGCCCGGAGAAAACCTACGTGTTCGGGCAGGTGACCCCATGTCTGTTCACGTCCGATCGAGGAATCGAACCCCGGCCGCCTTGGTAAAAAGCGAGTGCGTTTTCCACTGCGCCACCCGACCAACACTAATGATAAATTATATATGATTCCTATTAAATGTTTACAGGAGAGTTCCTCTCTTTCTCGTGATATCTCAACGGTACGGAAACCGGACTGTCGGTTCTTCAAGGTCCGTCTGATGAAAAACCACAAATATCTTTTGGAGTCACTGGTATATGAAGGTAAGTCACCCATTGACTTTGTGTCTGGACCTTTTTAAATATTTTTAGATTTTTAATCTAATTTTACATGATTTTGTTAATGATGATGCATACAATTATACCTTATACGTACTTAATACAGATATATCTGTTACATGTATGGTTGGTTTAATAAACAAAAACTCATGACGTCATGTCAGCTGATGCATTGACGTTTGATTTTGATTTTGTTTTTCGTGTTTTTTTGCAAATGATAATTCTATTGGGTTTTCTTCATATCAATTTATTCAATTATTAAAATCTTGTCCCTCCTCTCTCTGACAGCTTTATATCATTTTGTTTCGTGAATATTCAATTTCACGATTGGTTTTCGTAATATGTTCATTCACAATATATTTTATTTGAATATGTATGTGAAATTGATTATCGTAATCTATTTCAATTTAAGATTTATTCTGCTTGCGAATTAATGCAAAAGTATATCTTTAACATGGCAAAATAATAAAAAGATTAAAAATGTTGTTATATTTTAGGTGTGTACTTAAGATGTGGAAAAAATGGATTATCGATGAAAAAGCCAAAATCAGATTTAAACCATTTCTACCAAATCTCGCCAGAACTGCAGTTTGATATATTCACGTGAAACGGCAATGCACTGATGTAAAATTCTTCAAGATACGCCAAGCAGATCGTTCTGAAGGACAAACATCACATGATTAGACAAACTTCCGGTGGCCGAAGCGAGTGGACGGACAATGGCGATCTCTCGTATAATAATGTAACCCTAACCTCTACTTGACTCATCATGATCTACTTGGTTGCCTCTACATATTAATGGATACCACTGGTCAAACTACTCCACATTCATCGTAATTTTGAAGACGGATATTCTTCATTCTTCGTTCTCTACATGTGATTAGCGGTCACCGTAGTCCAGTGAGAAGTCGCCATGTTTCGTTAAAATATATACATGTATACATGTACACGTCGTCCACTGATTCATCTCACATTGTATCATACATTGTATCGTAAAATGATAGGAGTTGCTTCCCCTACGCCAGGCAAAATTAGTAAGACGCTGTCGCAAGCGACCGTCTTTTGTTTTAGCGTGGGTGCCGTCCCCTTATCTAAGCGTTTCGGTGACATTGAGAGACAACAGCACAACAACAACATGGAGAGATTTGGGCAGACGACAACGGAAGAAATAGACAAGAAGCGACTAAACAGTCAGTCTGCCCAAACGCAAAAGGCCAACAAGACGTGTGTGAAGTGTTTTAAGGATTTTCTCATGGAGAAACATCAGGATTGTTATGTTTTTGTTATATAACTAATATTATTTTCCTTTATAAAAGTTGATTAAATTTGTTAAATATTCATATTGTTTTGTTATGCATTACATCACTATCATTTTAAGCAAAAAGGGTCCTCGATGCGATAAATTATCGAATACTGCGATACTGCGATACAGTAAGATGTATAGGAGGCTCGGGCTCCACCCTCGCCCCCTATAAATCTTACTGACCCTCTATGGTTCTGTAGAGGGTCAGTAACTGACTATATAACTAATAGTATACATGGATACTGTATACTGTTTTGAATATATTCTTATTAAACTTATGCCCTAGTTACAGGCAATGTTTACATGTATTATTCTAACCGACTCATGTGTATGTCATCCTGATGCTGTCAAGTCATTCATATTGTGTAACTTGACTTTAGTATAAATTATTATTTACACAATTGATGCATTCTAACTGGAGATGTACTTGTATTTATAGCAGAATCGTGTATGTATATGTACGCATACACCACGTATGTATCATGTGCATCAATAAATTACGTGACTATATTTATCTATAGAATATAATAAATGTATTACCACTTGGAATACATGCATATGTGTATTATCTACACGGTGAATACTATATATATACATGTACTACCAATATAATAAAATGTATAATATAATGTATGTATAGTATATCCCTTGTAAAACGAACAAACTCATCAGCCATAAATTACTCATCTCAATCTTTTATTAACAAACATTCGTACCCTCCATGTCTTCGTTGATGACCTAGATCAATCTATATATATACAACGACCGATACATTTATTTTCACTGCATCATTGTCCAAAAACTGCAATAATGTCACATTACACTATAAACTTGAATCAATGTTTAAAACCCATGTGTGACCTACATGTAAACAGTTGCCCCGGCAATGTATTTATAGCAACATACATTAATGTTTACGTATATTGTTTTCAATGCTCATACGTTTTTTTTGTGTTTTTTTTTTTTAACTTTTTGATCCATCGTTTTCACAGCCGACTTTAACATTTTTGTGTATTTAACCATGTACCGACGCATAAGGAAATTAGATTGACATGACTTGATGAGTCTCACAACAACGGACTCAGATAATCTTATTCTGTGGTCTGAGACACACTAAGATGATGGTAAAGAAGGGCAATAACTCAAATAAGTTTATATCCCTCTTTACGAGTCCAAATCTCCACGTAGAGTTACGGTCCTTGCAATCCCTTTAATTGAAAAGGAACGACAACTCTGCGTAGAGATTGTACAAGTCGACGTACGAGGGGAGATAAGTGCTACAGACCTGGAGTTATGTCACTGTTGTAACTAAGGGAAGTGCGAAAAGATTTGCCAGTGTGAATGTACATGTATATGAAAGAGTCGAAGGAAACCATTAATTGTACCGAAATCAATTTCTAAATTTTGTAACATAAAAATGTTTTGTCCAAAAGCAGAAATTCTATATATTCAGCTTTATCTCATATACTATTTGATGTTTTTAAACAAATTGTAATACACCTTAACCGTACATCTCAAAGACTGCCTCCTGTTCTGTTAAACTAGAATTAACAATTGTATTGAGACGTAAAGTATATATACAAGTTTCTAGAACTTTCATGTGTACTCCCATGTATATATTAATATATTATCTGTGCAGATTTCGGGAATGCTAATCCTTCTCTAACACACTGCAAAACTGTATGGAAGCACCTATCAAAAGGCGTTTCAGAAGTAGGGTTTTTCTCTAGTACCCCCTAACTAGGATTCATTTAAGACATAAAAAAGAGGTTTCTGTCTGAATCGTTCCCCCCCCCTCCCGTTTTATCCCCTTGTCTATCCTTCTTTGAATTGCCATGTCTCTTCTGACACAAAGCCTTTTGTCTGTTTTCTACTGAGTTCTTATACATTTTCTGTTGATGGACCATTGCGATTTTATCATACCATACATTGTCTCACTACCACTAATGTCTTTGTGATACACGTAACATTTTCTTTCCACCTTTTTCCTCAATTTACAATAAAAGTAAGTGTATTGTGTGTATTGTATATATATATATAGGAGCTTTGGGGAATTTCCATTTCATTACACATTTAAAGTAAATCCAGGCCTGCATTCTCACACACAATTTCAGTTATCAATTTTAACACTTTTTCCCTACAATTTGAAGGCTTTGGAAACATTAAAACCGATATCGTTGTCTAAAGACTATGCGTTTTGTCAGTATGTAACGTACTTCAGGGTGTTGCCCGAATTAAGGCCAGAACTCGTGCTTGAGTTTTAGAAGGGTTTATTATTATGTATTTTATTCAGGTGAGACGTTTTCTTGTTAATATGATTGTTAAATTAAGTTTGTAAAATGGTTAAAATATGCATTTCATTTATGTTTAGCGTATTGATTGTTCAGTTTTATATGTTTCATTGGTTGTATAATAAAAACGAAAAATCAATCAAAAAGACTTTATTTTATATTTCTCGATTACTGTTTGCTTACTAATTGATTATTTGAAATAGTCTTCGTTCGTTATTATAATTCGTATATGTAAAGTAAACTGGGTTTATGTTGATTTATAGATTACCCAGAGGGATAAAATTAACATTTCATTGTATACTGTCCTAAACTAATGGTTATGTATACAAATGATTAAACCAAGGGAGAAGACTAATATAGTTTCGGAAAGTAATTTATAAATGAAGAAAACTATACAAGCTTCACAGGTTGATACTTAAAACTGATATATTTGTATAGTTTACATTGTAACTAAATTAGAAAAATATGAAAAAGATACAAATTAACTGGATAAATACATTGCTATTAACATCTTAATAAGCAAACTAGTTAAAAGGGGAACAAGTCCAATAATAAAGATATAAAAATAATCTTAATACAAAAAAATAGCACTTTTTACCTAACACAAAATAGTGTACGAAACACGTCTGTGGTAACAAATGTGTTCGGTGGAATATTCGCCCTTCACTAGTAAAATCTAACTTTCTCAGTGTAAGTGGCATTTTTTACAGTGGACATGCTACACTTACTTTGGCTATTCTAATAATTCATGATGATGATGATGATGATGATGATGATGACTCAACCAATGATATGTTAATGAAGATTTTATTATGAAAGATGGAATAAGGAGGAGGAGGGGGAGGATTACAAGGACGACAAAGTGCTGATTTGAATATGCGGATGTGCTATTGAGTGAGTCTGCTATATATGTACATGTAAAATGACTTTATTGACACTTCAAAATTCATAAAAATAATTAGCATACATAATTATCATATCAATAAAGAAAGTAAATGATAAAATTTGAGTGCTTAATATCAAATTTATTGACCGTAAAAAACAATTTGACGACACGTTATAAATGTGTTTAAAATGTACTGCTCAACTTTATGACGAAACAGATAAGGGACGTTGATATCAATCCTGGTGTCATTATCCGCTAACACAATGATACACAGTGATAACAATAGACATGTCAACTACCGTTATAGATAAACAAAGGGTTGTTTATAGGTCGGCATATATGGATCATTGTCTTATCGTAAGTAATAAATTTTATAATTCTGAGTTTCTTTTCAGAATGTTTTTGTTTTCCAATGTCCTTTGTACACCAACTTAAANCTTTGGCTTCAGGAAACCATCCCACCTTGCGAATTTTCTTTTGAAATCATGTATTTTCACTTTCACCATTTTCCCTCAATTTTCCCCAACATGGAACCCCCACCCCCAGGGAATTTTGATGAGAACACTTAAGGTATTTAATACTTAATAGAACATTACATAGTAAACTACAACATACCATATACGAAGTCGCTGGGTACATTGATAATACTACCTGATACAGAGGTGTGTTGTATTTTGAATTAAGAATCAACAGACACAGGCACAAGTATTTTTTTTTTATTATTAAAACCAGGAAGTATTTATTCGTAAGGTTCGTTTCAAACGAGTTCCGATTCAATTTTCTAGGAGGTGGAGAAAAAGCACGGTAAGTGTCCTTATATATCACCACAACATGGTAACACATGAAATACATAACTTATTTCATAAGGGCACATTCGTACCTATTGGATAGTGTTTGTGAATAATACGTCTCGGTATTTTTTCTTTCTTTCTATGACAATGTGAGTTTATTTCTAAAATTGTTCTATAGCAAAGTTCCGTCCACTGTGTGATCGTGCTAATTTATCATGATCGTATATCATTATATTTATAAACACCAAGGTAATTAATGAAAAATTAGTTAACAACTAAGTGTTCTGAGTGTAAACATTCCTGCATTCAGGATGCGAATCCTGGACCACAGATTGTTATACTTTAGCACTAACCGTTTGAGCTACCTTGTTAACGCCGTCATTGTATAGAGCCTTCCATGTGTTTCTGTATGAATCTTGTAAGGTAGTGATAATGATAGCTAGTTTACACAGGTAAGTTTTACGAAGTTCCTTGTCTTTGTTTACTAGACCTATATTTACTTCCTAACACAGTGGTATCTGACAACTCTGTAGGGATATTTTATTTTCCTGAACCCAGGGCTACCCAACCATAATAGTTTCAATGCGATCACACTAACAACCAAAACATTGGGCGGATATGGATTTTCCCGGCGAAGGGCAATTATTTGACTCTGCGGAAATTTCCCACTATCGGTGAATGGTGAATATTTTTAATGAGGTATGTTTAATTAATCGCATACGTTATTTTACATGTTCATGTCTTATTGGTATGATAACGTATTTATACTGTTTTTGTTTTTAAATATCGATATAAAGATTTCATGTTTATGTCTTGATAAAAAGGAGGGGTGTCGAAACAAATTACATTTTGTTACCGCATTGTCACTATAATTTTTTATTTTGAAAATGAAAAGAGGAGGCAATTTAACGATCGTCATCCTAACCCTATTCAAATTTCAATAAAAATATTTTTAAAGACATGCTGCCTTAGTCCTAGATAGTTGATGACAAATATATTTACCTCGGTTTGACCAGAGTCACCATCGCAATGCCTCACATGATCGTTAAAACGGTCAGAACTAGTTTAATTAATCATTGAGATGTTCACCGAGGGGCTGCTCGATTTGTGCTTACCGGGGCATTCGCCGGACGACCAGCTAGAATTTTGAATTGGAGTCTAGACAGTGTAACGACGAGGGACTACTGGGCGTTCTACTTATCGGACGGTGTGGCTTTTTGAGATTCAAGATTGTATCTTATTTCACCACATTATTATTTAGAATTTATTTGCTTTTTTTTAAATTGGCGGCTGATATTTTCTTGTATAGCGATTTGTTATCTCAGATAAGATGTAAAGAAAATTTTCAAATCCTTTATTTCGCGCTTTATAATCTTTACATGATGCGCCCGTGATTTGCTTATACGATGGTTACTTACCGGCGTAGAACACTGGGTCGTTGACGTTACTTAAGGAATATTGTTTCCGTGTCTAAAATCGTTGAAAACCTACCCCATGACGGGAAACCTAATTGAACAACCTAACAACCAGTTTTGCCTGTGAGGCTTTGTAATTCATGACGAATTTCCTTTGGGTGATAGTATTGCTATTTTTCTTCCCGTTTTGATTTTCCTTCGGTTCGGTTTTGAGTCCGTATCGACCTTGGTAATATCTAAAACCATCAAACATCCACCTGATAGTTAATATATAGAAAAGAATAACAACAGGTACAGAAATATGATGCGGTTCAAGCGTCAAGGGCTGCTCATTTTCCTTTCGATATATTTATGCAATTCACCTATTTTACTTTTTATTTTTAAGGTTAAAATTGTAATACTATATATATATATATATATTGCAGCAATGGGTGGCATTTTACACTATCCTGTATCAGATCACAACAAGCTACCTTCCGATACATCGATTAAGGTAAGATATTGGCCTAATCAATTACTTGGCACTCGATGCTATCATAAAGTTAGAATTCATACGAAATGGATGATAATTGCACAAAGACAGATTATTTTCCTTTTAATGAGCAATCTGTATGACATATAAAAGATAGTCAGACGGACTTCCGTGTCTGCCAGCCAAACAACAAACTAGTCATTTTTAAGTTTAAGTGTACATGTTTTAGTCTCGGACTCTAAAACCAAACCCGTTAACATGTCCACTTTTTTATAAACCACACAAAGCTGTGACTTTTGTCAAGGTGTGTATGCGTCATTCTCAGAGCTCTTAAAAGTTATAAAAACCCTTATCCTGCTCCGTATGGAATTGTAAAATTAACTATATGAGATCATATCTATATTTGACACGACTGTATGCATGTGATGTAAGTTAAATTATAAGTTTATTTATTTTACAAAAAAATATGAAAAGAAAACAATCAGCTATTATGGTCACATTTGTTGCCCAAAGTGTACATGGAAGCACGCAAGGGGTCTTAATGTTGGGGGAATCCGGAGTGTCCGGAGAAAACATGTTTGGTTGGGAAGGTGACCCATACCTTTTCATGTCCGAACCCGTCTTGGTAAAAGGCTTTGCGCTATCAGCTGGGGCAATCCCAACGAGAAAAACTGTGGAAACCTGCCTTTTATAAATATTTCTTTGATTTTCAATCTGCACAGTATACGATTTAAACGTTATACAAATTTTTATACAAATGGAAGAAATCTACGTCTCGATTTTTTTTGAAGGATAAAGTAAAAGAAACCGATGGGTTGTGTGGGAAAAAGTCAGATATTTGGATCAAGACGGCTGCTGGAGAGTTAGTGGAAGCTGGATTCAAGATTAAGCAAAGTGAATCCGGATTTAGGATCGTAGAACTGGATTTAAATAACTACATAGTTTCCGAATTACAACTAACGTGAGTAAATGGTGTCAGTTGCCGTTTTTCCATTATGCAATTTATATGCCGATGCTATGTCGTCATTTCCGGATACCTTTGATATCATTTGCCATTTTGCTTAGTTACATTTTCGTTGTTATTTGAGTGCCTGAATAATACTTTTTATACTAGGAAACCCTCTTACTAGCACACTATCTTCATGTCAAATTATCAAGTATTGTCTAACTCACCAATCATACGGCTATAACTGTCCAAGACTTTCGTAGTGCTAAGCGTATTATCAGTTTTGATTTGCGTTGATTGTAATGTTATCTAGTGTCCGATATGATACATTTAACCTTGTAAATAGCAAACAAACATTGGAATTTTTTCTTTTTCTTTTAATTGAAATATAAACTAAATGAAAATTTCATTTCATTATTTATATGTGAATGTTACACATGAGCATTTCTCATAAGTATAACAATAAAAACTAATATGTTTTTAGTACTTTTGAAAAAAATTCTGAAGACATGGTTCTTTTCTGTTGAGGACATTTGATATCGGAACGTAAAACGTTCGCCAAAAGTAAATGCTCATTTGCATTAACCAATGCAAAGACGAGACAAAGGTGTCCTCAATAAAAGACAATTCTACCTAGTTAGAATGCCGGGATTAGTTGTAGAACAATTTTCTCATTTATGAAAGGCGTTTTTACATATGAATTTATGTTTTTTCTTTAAATTATCTTACAGGGAAAATGACAAACTCTTAGCCATCAATAACATCGCTGTAAGCTGCAGGGAACATCATGAAGTTGTGGAGTTTCTCCAACAGATGTTTCACCCAGAACGAAGTCGTCTGTCCATTGTAATTATAGCAAACTACATTTTATAGGAGGTTTGGCTTAGTATTTATATTATGAGGGCCGTTTTGTTTCAGTTTTTCTTGAACCTTTCACTTTTTTCATATTTTACTTTCTCTTTTTTTAAGATTTTATTTTCGTTGCGTTTTTACCATTTCTGATGTTCCCATGATCAAAATAATTTGTTTCTAGGGAGAGCGTCTGCAACGCTTGTAATCATGACCTAATGTGTAGTCTGTTTGTTGTTAATAATGGGCGGTTTATGTGGATGTGTTTGCTACAACAAATTTGATTGGTCATTGTGTATTAATAATAGCTTATCGCCGCTGCTGTTTGAGATTAAGCTCTGATCGAATGCTAGAACGCACGAGAGTGAAGTTGACGATTTACATGTCCATATATCCTTGTATCCCAAAGAACTTTTAAATCTTACCACTTGAGCATTCCTGTTCCATCGAATGCAAAACACTGAAAATTCCACCAGGGTTCCTTTTTTGTATACACAGTAACCTATCTTTAAGTTTGTTTTAGATATAGCTGCTGTGCTATTGGTAAACAAACACGTTCGTTTATTGGTTAGAGCGACATTATAACAACCTGAGGTCCAGAATTCAATTACCACTTTGTATTTTTACATTCATACACTGTTGTCGATTATATATAGTTTATTTCATCATCCCTTGTTTTGCATTAAATACCCGCCAGGCATGGGGTTCGTTTCAGTAATAATCTATCAAAGCTGTAGCCATGCTGGGAAAACACATTCCATTACATATTGACAGTTTTTTTTGTAGCGGTACAAAATCCTTAAGTAACCATGGGACAGGTGGTCTAATTTCAATTGGGCCATGTCTGGTTTGTTATTTTCTGCCTGTCTATATATGATAATAAGACTGTCACGACAATATACGCCTATGTATACAATAAGGGTAAAATTTATATTTTAGTCCAAAGTGACTACAGTTATTATGATGAAAGCCTCATCATATTCAACGAGGTTCAGTGTTCAGGATACTTGACATGATTGATATCCGCTCTAATGAGGTATTTTCATACAGTGTTATACCTACTTGTTGGGACGGAATTGAGACGAGCGTTAAAATGGTACTTTGCTCAATAACGTAGTTTTACCGCCAAGCCTGTGATTATATTTGGAAACAAGAGAATGAGTGTCTCCACTCAATTAAAGTATTGGTCAACATTATTGGGTTGGTTAAAACTTCTCTAACTACACAAGTATACCCCATCTCTCATAGGACATCCTGAAACCGTTCCAACTACACACACAACTATAACTCTTCTCTTATAAGACATTCTTAAACTGTTCCAACTGCACAACTATGCCTTATTTCTTATAGGACATCCTAAAACCACTTCATCTGCACAACTTTGTCTCATTTCTTATAGGACATCATAAAACCCCTCCAACTACACAACTATACCTCATTTCTTATATGACATCCTTAAACCACTTCAACTGCACATCTTTGTCTCATTTCTTATAGGATATCATAAAACCCCTCCAACTACACAACTATGTCTCATTTCTGATATGACATCCTTAAATCCTTACAAGCGCACAACTACAACTCATCTCTTATAGGACATCCTAAAACCGCTCCAACTACACAACTATGTCTCGTCTCTTATAAGAATTTTTCTAATTATAGGTAATTGAAAGAAAAGAATGGACCGATGCAGATAAAGACACCGTTACGACCTTTGAAATAGAGGTGGACTATTTGATATCTCGGGGTAAACTTTCATCATCGTGAACGAGAGATTTTAATTTCATAGATCTTTTTTAAATTATCTGAATAGAAAAATATTTATGCCATAATAAACATCTTTCGTAAATTAGATTTTGTTTTTGAATATTTGCAGAGAGAACCAAAAAGGAATAGATATCTTTAATGAAAATATTGAATAAAATGCATGTTTAAGGCCTATAATATTACATACATAATTCAATTGGGAAAATATGTGATTTTCAGTGACAACATCACGTTTTACTACTTTGTAATATATGCATTAAGATAAGAGTACCATTAAATGTGTAATATAAAAAAAGGAAAATGCTTAAAGTCGAAAAAAGTTAATCTAAAGTTCAACTCCTGGTCTGTATGCACAATGGTGCAGCTGGACCTTTTAAATGATATTTAATTCTGTTAATTACAGAAGATATAAACCGTTTAAAAAAATAAGACTGGTTGTGTTTTGTAGGTGGTGGCTCAGCTTTTGCTTTGTTTACAAGAACCACAATTTTGAGCAGATTCTCTGGTTTTTCCGCTGTCTACTGTATACATCATAAGGGGACAGATGTATGTCTGATAGCTATAGACACGCCGATATCCCAGCTTTACCTGGAATGTGGGACAGACGGAAAGCTGACCATGAGTAATCTCCCTTCCCGAACCGACACATCATGTAATATATCACATTACCTCAGGCTTCAATGGCCTAGTTGTCTAGCTATTTAGCCGGGGTTTGTTGGTTATATAGTATTTCGCTATTTCAAATGTTCTATATATTTTTTATTTATTGTTTGTGTTTTTGTTTGGTTGAGTTGATAGCAATTAAAAACCAGACCAACATGTGATGAGGCATTCCTTCATAATAGTCTCAAATATATGTCAATTCTGTGTTAGACAGTTCTAATTGGGAACAAAAAGTAATATTGAGGCTCAATCAATATTGAAGTTGGTAACTTTGTTATCTATATTTAAATAAAGGAACATATAACAAAACACATGATACTATAACTTTCGATTTACTTGAATGATGACAGAATGCAGAGACCATATTTCTTAAAGCTGAAAAAGCAGTAATGGCAAAAACAAAATTTATTTTCTTTCAGTTCATTTCAGAAAAAGTATATTTCATGGTTTTCAAAAACAGCATAGTGAAAATCAAAGTTGCTTCCTATGTATTCTGCAGCCGGTAGGAACGGAGAAGTACGTTTCAGTCAAAAACCGGTCGTCTGTTGACCTCTCGGTAAGTTTCATGTTGATAACAGATACATATTATCTTAAATCGACTGTTAAAAAACAATTAAGTGCTAGTATTTAACTTAGGGAAAGTGATCTCGAACCCAATGTAATTATTCATGTAATCTGCATGTAACTAATTTAAGTGATTAATTATAAATTAAGAGAAACTTAACATAGTAACTTAGACTGATTTATGTTAAATATAAATTATAGTAGCAACCGGTATGCTTTCCTTGATTTGACAGGTGTTATCATTGCATGATGGATAACATTAGACACAGGCACTATCTGATTGAAATATCTTAACTTTCAAAAATGTCACACAACAAACTTCGTACAAAATGCAACTAAATGAATGAACATCATTTAGGTAATGAGGTAAATTTGGTTTTCATAGTTTTGTAACATGCGAACAGGCAACCATCAAGCCCCTGACCACGCTCAACGTTGATATACTAGTGAGCGCGTCCCAGCCATTAAAGCAGTATTCTCATTTTCATTCCTTGCCTGTTCCAATTTATTTTTACAAATGAGCAGTTGCATGATACACATTATCAGATGTTGTGCACGGCTATACTGGCCCGATGAGCAAACAACTACCTTAATTCACATGATGGTTCTATATGTAAACATTAATTGATAACAAAATGTAATTTTCTCTTTCAAAACGAAGAATTGCCCCGTTGGCTCGGAGGACATAACATCGATGACGTCTTTACAAGAAGCTGATCCTAGGTTTTTCCTCTTGAAATTGAAGAACGTGAGGGAAAAAAATGAATATATGTTTGAATCTGTCATCTTAAAAGGTAAGTTGACCTGTCAAATATGGCCTATAAAAGGTACTTTTGACTTTCAATTAAAACACTTCAGCAGAAAAATATGCACTGAAGCCGTTCATGTAAATTCAAATCATTTGATAACGTTTGTGGTGCGGGAAAAGACATTCCTTCTCGACCTCTTTATCTATTATAGAAAGTGACATTATTTAGATCTGATCTAGATTTACACAAGTGCGGTCGATGAAGTAGAAGACGCTTTTCCTTCTGGAACACCTGGTCTTTTTTCCTTATCCTTTTACGAATCTCCATGTAAATCGTTCGTTTGTTCATATTTCCCCATTATCTCATCGATTTAACATAAAAATATACATCATTATCTGACAAATAGACTATCTGTGCTACCGATGTTGACCGTTAAGTTAGCGCTGAAATTTATTCTAGAGTGGTTTAAATGAAATTTTGTAAAAGAAATGAATCTAAAAGCTATACGATAGTTACATAATAAAAGTTTATATATATACCATTCCCCTTAAGCGATATTTCTGTATATGTTTTTAAATACTTAGGATATGGGTTTTTGTTCATGTGATCTTTAGAACGTCTGATGAGTCGTCCTGAATGGACGAAATGTTGAAGTAAATGTTAACTTTGTTTGGCTTTTGGCATCGATTTCGAATTTTGAAGTAGGTGCTACATGTATGTAAAGTGATTCATTCTTTTTATTTGTTTATAAACAGGCATGTGCCTCACATGGGATAACACAAAGAAGGAGATGAAATTGAAAGATTCTTCGGACTCTTCTGTTCCCTTTTCAGCATTAAATTCAACTTTTCACATTTATTCTCTATAAAGGACTCGTACAACTTAATCATTTTCTATAAGTTACTTCCTAGCTTTTAACCAAAGACCTTTAACAGAGGAAGTTCAACACTTGGGACAGCTGTCTAGATTCATAGATAAAAAAAGTAAAAAATGCCTTGCTATTTTAAATGGGATATAAGCGCGCTACAGGCTTCAACATTTGATAACCCGAAGTTTACAAGCCAATTGGGCTAAGCGGACGAGAACAACTCCTGACTTTTGACTGCCATATAAATCCGCCATCACATATTAATATATACTAAAACTGTACATTTTTTGACGAAGTTATCTCAAGTTAAACCAATACGAAATATATGTCATTCGAAAAATATATGTGAACAATTTCACCGAGTGTATAATGTTGAATCAACGGAACCGACATGTTTTTCGTCTCTGCCACTACGGATATAAAATGAAATGTTCGTACTCTGTGGACTTGCAGGTCGCGACAAGACCTTTTGAAGAAGTGGTTTTAGAAAGACATCCCCAACGTCCACCCACACTTGTCTATCTTTATTGTAGGGAGGTGTGCAATGTTACTGTTTATAACCCAAACCATCTGCTCAACCACGAACAGGTTTTGATGTGACTCTATCTATATAATAACGTTTGAATGAGTTGTTTTTCGTCTCTGCCACTACGGATATAAAATGAAATGTTCGTACTCTGTGGACTTGCAGGTCGCGACAAGACCTTTTGAAGAAGTGGTTTTAGAAAGACATCCCCAACGTCCACCCACACTTGTCTATCTTTATTGTAGGGAGGTGTGCAATGATACTGTTTATAACCCAAACCATCTGCTCAACCACGAACAGGTTTTGATGTGACTCTATCTATATAATAACGTTTGAATGACGCAGATTGTCTCGAGTAAATTTGATTATTTTAACTACTGTAAATTTCCATTCTTTAACGCAATCAAATTTTAGCGCATATCATTTTTGCAGGTTTCGTCATTATTGAATTGACGCACCTACAATATATGCAATAAAGAAACAATATACAGACACGTAAATTATCACAACAATAATTTAACGCAATTATTAAATCGCCAAAAGCGATAAACCAAGATTACCGCTAAGATACATGTATGTAAGTTTGCAGTATTTTAATAACAGCTTACGATTTTATTACGCATGAAATATTGATGAACATAAATGAACAACTAAATAGTGTTTATTCTGTACATATTCTGTGTTTTGTGTAAGTTCTTTCTTTTTCACTATCATGGGTAATGTACTTTTTTTTGTTAAACGTGTGCTTTCATATTCGACAATAATGATAAAAATGTTATGTTGTTGATCTGAAAACAAACTTTTTAGAGGAAATGACAACTTCCTAAAAATATCTCTCTGATCGCTTGTTATATACAAACATCTAAATGAAGTCGACACTGAAAAAATCATGGATTAGGCACTTTCATCTGCTATATAGAAATAAACGATAAATCTGATATCATACGTTTTTGTTACTTACAACCCATCTAACATTTACATTTCCCTGATATCAAACGATATGAAAAATGTGTATAACGGGCGATTATATGAGAAATATTCCTTGCAAAAACTGTATATGATGTTGGTATAATATTAATGTTATTATCTTGGGTGATTGTTCTGAATTTGACAGGGTCAAATTGGTTATGAATTGCGACAACGAGTGACGCTTCACAATCAATAGACAAAAAAGGACTATCAGGACGCCGGGTTCGTGACCGAAGGGTTACGGGTTCGAGTCACGTCATGGCACTGCGTTGTATCTTTTAGCAAGATAATTTATTCCTCTTTTTTCCAATCTACTCAGCTGTAAATGAGTACGTGTTTGGGCAGTGCTAGAACTGTAGAATGCTAGCTGTGAATGCCGAATTGGCAGCAGCGGCTGTATGCTCCCCATCGAGTTGAGAAAGATATTGGCTGATTGCAAAGGCCCTGTAAACACGGATAATAATTTGTGAACCACTTTGAGACGACCTACGAACAAGGTTGTGATAAAGCGGTATATAAGAACCTCAAATTATTAGTATTAATACTAGTATTATTATGTTTAACTGTTAACAAGCATGTATATTTGTTTTCATTTGATAATTTACATGAAATACCAACATAATCAGCAGCAGACAATATTATGCAAAGAGGGTCAAAATAATCAATGCTAATCAATATATGATAAAATGGTTTAAATATCTCTCCTTAAAATGGTTCTAAAGTGCTAGAGTTACACTAGAGTTAGAGTTCTAAAGTTAATGCTTCTGACAAGTTTGCCGATACACCTATATTTTCGAGATAAGGCCCTTGGTGAAACATATAAGTAAGTGAATGCAGAATCATTTCATGTCATGTCATTATCTAAATATATGTTTTTGTATTATAAAATATATTGTAACATCACTTTTGTTGCCGTTTAAATTTTGGCATCAAAGCTTATTTTGGAGTCATTCCTGTTGTGAATTTGTGTTGTGAAGTCATAATATATTACTAATCATAACTTCAGCATTGTTTGTGTTGTGTTGTTATTTCTCCGTCAACATGATTGTTTACAAAATTAACACATCTTCTAAATAATTTAAATTAAGAGTTGAAGAGATGTATTCATATATACTATGTCCGTATATCGATTTCCGAAAGTTATGTACACTGTCAAAAAAGACCCACAAATGACAGGCATTTCTTTCAATAATTATAAAAGATATCATATAACAAACATTTTCTTTAAGGAAGTATTTTTGACGTCGCGGAAGTGAACTATAAAGAAGTTTTAATGAATATCCATAAAGTTCTGATGCAGTTATTTCTTTGTTAAAAATGCATCGCTTTCCTGACAAGGAAAATAATTCACAATATACATGATATATATTGGTGTAATATAACAGCCAATGATATGGTTGGCCTTGGTAAAGGTATTCAATTCTTGTTACGTCAAATAAATGAATGACATGTGTCAAATAAAGATTTACAAGTGATAGGGCATCTAATACATCTATAATGGAATATGATAAAGGCGTGTACTTCCTAAACAATAAATACATGGTTATAAATGATATTGAGAAATATCAGTTCCTTCTTTATTTGCATTAGAAATGCGGAAGATTAAGACACTCCGGTATTCCCTTCTTTCCGTCAACAGGAAGTAGAACTTGAGTATATATTAGCCATTACATCAAAGGTTATTATAAGGTGAGTAAACGAAAGCAAATAATTATTGTGGAAGATGGAAAACAAAGAAAATGTTTGTCAAACTCTTATTAAGTTGCTGAAACATTAATGCAAATTTTGAAAATGAGATATTTGATAACTGTCCTTTATCGATCTTTGATTAAAATCTGTTTCGAATATATGTTAATCCAGATTGTAAATAATGAACAGGTAAACCCTATAGTCATGATATGATTATTAAAAGAGATATTATGGTAAATATATAAATATATATTAAAGTTCTTTAAATGAAATGGTAATTTTACAATATGAAATGACTGGTGTTCCAAATGGTTTTGTCACAACAGGGTTTTTTAAGTTACACAGAGATTCAAAGTACCCCCATAACTGTTAATAGAATCTCCAAAAAAAACACTGAGTGGTAAGGTCATTTGATAAGGACGGATTCGGGTTTACTTGGTGCACTATATATGTATCATATAGGGTTTTCCTTAGCGGTGCATTGATCGATAATAGTCGTAAAAGAGAAAGTGCACACATTCCTATACGCACATATATGCGTGTAATATATATAGGATATTACATGAGTTTCCATTTCATATGTGATTATGAAACTAGTCTTAGAATGTTTTTCAATTGAGGCGAGCTAAAATGAAAATTCGTGACGAGATTTATAAATTTCATATGAAATGAAAACGAGCGTAAGATCCTTATTATTAAATAATCAAAATTTGTGGCATTAATTCGTGTAAAACGACGATTTTCATGCAACCTTGAAATAAAAAAGAAGCCATTTTGACTCCAGTGCGTAAATCTGTGATGCCATATACTTGTCCTAGGCGTGATGTCACAATTGAAATAACTGAAACTTACAACCAATCACAGGGCTGATAGGTCATATTGCATGGGTTAATTCGCATAAAATATGACATTGGTATACTCACTGGATAACAATACATTATGTGATCAAAATATATCTTCGAGATAAGATTTAGCAAATCTAGTGTGCATAATATCCTATCTGTAATAGGGATGTTACCACTCTCCTTGACCAATGTTACCGTACAATGCACCGCCAAGTCTAAACCTGTGCGAAACGTCTGAATAATAGGAAGTGACATAACACTTGTGTAAAATTCATTAAAGTATGATGACATATATCACCTATGTCCTGTATGGACGAGTAGTATGTTATAAAATTGATAAAAATGAACTTAAACTGAAATTTAGGTAAAGCAGGCAGTTCTCTAAGATGTATTATTATTTATCCAATAGCTTTATTTTCTGAGCCCTACTTTTAAGTATATACGTAACAGGTCAATTTTGTCAATATTCAAATGAAATTGCACTATAGACACATAGTTTCCTACACGGAAATAAACCAGAAATGAACAGTAAGAAGGTATGTATGATCATTGAGGTCATATAAGCCCGTACTGTCACGCATGACAAGACAAATTCATTTTAAAGTTTATCTATGGATAACGTCTTAAATGGGTGATAACACAAGGAAGCGTTGGTACTTCCTTATTAACTAAACTTAAACCTGATGGATTGTAGTATGTCTCATTCTATATAATCTTCCTGACAACTTTATTGTAAAATACCGTAAAAACACCTATATACACGCCCTCGTATTTAGCCCTTAAGGTAAAAGCACATCTGATCTACATTTCATTCATATATTAGAGTACCAACCTTACTTTGACAGGACGTACTTAAGAAAACGTGTTTTCTATTTAAATGGAGCGCTGTATATTAACTATCGCAACGGAAATAACGTCAGGAAGAGCGATTAAAATTGAAAAAAAACAAAACCTGATAACATTAAGAATTAATAATTTATCAAAATTACAATTTTCCTTATCTAATTCAACTTTGACGTGTATATCATTTGAGCAATACCTTCTCAGGCAATAGTTACTTAATCTTAGGACCCCAACATGTCGTTAAGTGATAGTATAAAACAACAGGAAATTGTTCTGAACGTCCAGAAAATGTTGTTTACGGAACGGAAATCTACTGAATGTGAGAAAGGCTTAGTGATTTGCTGATATTCTACATAAGGTTTTGGATACGATTACATGTACGTTTTGTTTAGCAACTGGATATAAACCACTGTAGGTAATTTCGTCACTATCACTTATATGTGCTATTATTAATAGATATCTTCCTGAAGTTTTTAATATATTTACTACTGACTAGTACATTAAGGTTTCAACGGAAATTAAGATATTGAATCTCGCTCTGTTGAAGTTCATGGTTTATAAATGAATAGGGTCTTTAGACAAATTCAAAATAATATAAGATTACAAAGCTTACAGAGTTTATCACCCGGGTGTCACCTTGTGGAACGTTACATTGTGTAGATATGGACCAGATTGGTATGATTGGTGTCATAGATGAAACAGAAGACGCTTACCCTTCCGGAACACCCGTCTTAAAATTTGTCCTTTTTTCATATTTTACACAATGGACCCTGGTTTCATCAATTTTGAGTTCAATTGTATAAACTTCGGAATTTTCTTATTTTCTCATGACTTTATCCAGAATAGTTTCTTAATAAATTTATTTCAGGTAGGATTGGGCACAACGGCTTAGAATCCTGAAACATCAATGATGGCAGATGTCGAGATATTTTCCGATGAGGTATGTTTCTTTAGTATCTTGAGTGAGTTTAATGATTCTAGAAACAGTGCATTATGTTACATAAAGAATAAAAATACACACAAAAGCATTGGTAATTAAATGTATTCAACAATGCTTCCAGATAAAGATAACACTATATGAATTAGTGAATAGGGACGAAAACGTTTGACTTATTTTTTTGATTTTGCATTAATTTCGTTATATATTTTCTTCCTAAAGTGTTTTCTATTTCTGTATTTCGTCATTGCATTAAATTTATTTAAGTTATCTCTATATTATACACCAAGTGGTAAATGATATATTCCAGTCAATTCCGTATTTTTTTTCTACTTTTTAAGTTATTATAGCTCATTAAAATTTAACGCAGCTACTATTTACTGAATGAAATTACTTCACACAATAAAGTACAAATACCAAAGCTGTTTCACCAAACACAAGTAATGTCACTTAATCAGCTGCCATGGAGGCAAAAACCTTGTCATAAATCTTAACGAGTCGGAAAAATAAAAAATGGAATGGTGCTTTGCCCTTTTGATAACCTTTACACTACGTTTGTTTTGTTATTGTTAAGACATTCTGTAAACATAATTTTAACCTATTTGATCAAAGTTTGAAACGCACTGTTGGCAAGCATAATTCCGTAGTCAGATGATTAAAGAAGTACAACAACGGCGTAAATGACGTTGACAAAGACCACTTTTCCTTCAGTTTTTCGGGTTTGCTGTGCCTAACTATTCGCCTACAACAGAGCCTGACTTCAGCTCTGACAATGTCATAAGCAGGATCTCAACATTGTCTGTGAACGAATCCGACTTTACGTCAACGGTATGTCGCCCTTTTTATTGTCAACCTATACGCACATATATTCGTCGTGCGTTAAATATATGAAACATTATATATGCAAAATTTATTTCGTTCCATTTGTGCTTAGATAACAGTGTATATAAGTCTGGTGTGTATGCGCTGTTAATACCGATATTGTGAAGTATTGTCTCTCTATTGTCTCAAAGCAACATTAAAATTCTGAAATTGACATTTCAAATAATTATATC